TAAGTCACTTTACTGAGACATTTTCCATATGTCAGTTTCATTTTAAGTTTAGTACTTCCATGTGATAAATGATAATTTTTGTTTATAAATGTTTTATTTTTTTCAATGACATGGTGGATACATTCTTGGTAAAGTGACTTACAAGGCATACTGCATTTTCAGCACTGACACCCACGAAGTGTATCTTATCTGCAGATACAAAAGGAATAGTAATGACACTGTTTCAACAAGTGGTTTTGAACAAAATCAGTAGGCTTCTTGCCAAACACATCAATAGCATCCACATGCCGGTGAAGAAAAATGTTCATATACTAAGACCTATAAAAGAAAAACTGTCTGAAAGTTATGGGTATAATATACCATGTGCCCTATGATTGTGGCATGGTTTGTGTGGTACAGACAGGCAGTAAAGAACATGTGAGATACATATACTTAATGTCAGCCAGCCTGAGAAGTCTGCTGTGCCAGAGCATAACTATGAAACAGGGCATGTCAGTTTTAGCAGCAACTCCATCTAGGATAAGGCAACTGGATATATGGGCTTTGTAATACTGCAGAATATTAATATCAGACTTTCCTACAGTCTTCAACAGGGATTGAATCTTCATTCTCAGTCAGTCCTGGTATCTGGTGCTCTTCATTATCTTGTGCTCAGATCTGAAGACATGCTCTGGACAGGTATATATATGGGGTGGTCTAGATACAGAGGTACATCAGAAACCCTGATGATGGTGTTGGAGATGGTCACTAAAATTTTGATACCTTGCACTAGATATTTACATAATTTAATAGATGTAAATGTAGGGGAATGCTTGGATGAAAAACAGCTTTTTTAGAGGAGAGTACCATAGTGCGTCCATCTCCAGCCATGAAGATGGAAGCATTATATTCCTCGAAAATGTTGATACATCAAGTCCTACAAATCCACATGGAATTGCAACCCAGAAGACCTACCTCATCAAGGATTAATTCTGTTCATATGGGTGACATGAAGATGGTTTTTATGATATACTATTTAGCTGCCTAGAACATGTCAAGCTGAAATTAGTGCAGACTTTGTGAAGTTACATCTAATGGTCTGAAATATTTTCAGGCTTGGCCTAATGATGCTCTGCTGGCTGTGTCTAATCACTTTCTCGCAGATGTGGAGTTGACAGAGAAGGAGCATGATGCATGCATCAGGATGTGTCAAGAGTTCCACATGTCCACCCAGAATTTATCCGTGGAGTTCTTCAAGAGACTGGGTCGGCACAATTATGTGACAGCCACCTCATACCTTGAGCTTATCAACACGTTCAAGGAACTTCTGAGCAAGAAAAGAGGGTGAGATATTTCAAATTTATTTAATTTCTTTGTTATTTGTTTATGATACAACTCCTAAAGTGGTTAATACAAGCGTTCTCAACCCATGGCCCACAGACTGCATGCAGCCCTCATTAATTTCTCTAATAGGCCTACTATATCAACCTGTATAATGCACAATATTTCCCTGATATCAGAGAACAGGTTTTATTAATGCAGCAACAGTTGTAAGCAACTGTGTAGATTAATGAAGAACATAAAATCAATAACTAGAATGCATCACATTAACAACAATTTTATTCACTTAATTTGAGTCTCTTTCCAAATATAAGTTTTGATTGAGTTTGGAATACCAAAGTAACTTCTTAGGTTAATTAAGAATTGTATGGATAGGGTATCATGTAGAGTTCATATAGGTAACCTTCTGTCGGATCCTTTCCCAGTGCACAATGGCTTAAAACACGGAGATGCTTTATCTCAAGTGCTTTTTAATTTTTCTCTGGAATGTCATCAGGAAGGGCTTGAATTGAATTTTTTGCACCACATACCTGCCTATGCTGATAGTGACAATTTGCTGGGGGATGGTGTGGGTACCAAAACCAAGAATCCAGAAACTCTCCTACAGGCTAGCAAGGAAATAGGCCTAGGAGTAAATGTAGACAAAACTTAATACATGGGCATTATGTGGGATCAACATCAGCAACAATGGCAGAACATAATTATAAGTAACACTTCATTTAAAAATGTTTCAAAATTTAAGTACAATAACAAATAGAAATGGGGTCCGTGATGAAATTAAGAGTAGTATACATTTGGAGAACGATTGTTTGTATTCAATTTTAAAACTGTTATCATCCCATTTACTGTCCAAAGCACTGAAGTTCAGAATATACAAAACAAGTCTGCCAGTTGTCTTGTGTGGTTGTGAAACATGGTCTCTTACTTTAAAGGAAGAATGTATATTACAAGTGTTTGAAAACAGGGTTTTCAGGAGGATATGTGGTTAGGAGGATATGAAATAAGTGGGAAATTTAGAATATTACATAACAAGGAGCTGCGTGAATTGTATGGGTCACCCACCATAGTGAGGATAGTGAAATATATGAGGCTCCAATGGGCATGTGGCATACATGGGGGAGACAAGGGGTGCATACAGGATTTTGATAGGGAATCCTTCTGGAAAACAACCACTGGGAAGACCAAGAAGATGGGAGGATAACATCAAGATGGATCTTAGGAAGCTGGGCTGTGAGGATGGCAAATGGATGGAATTGGCTCAGGATCGTGGCCAGCGGTGGGCTTTGGTATTGTCAATGTTGAATTGCGGGTTCTGCTACCAGGGAGTGAGTTAGTTAACAAATACTATAAGTTAGTGTGAGAAAGATCACCATTTATCTCACTGATAAACACTTAAAAAGATGCAAGTGAGTCACTGTAGCAAAAGTTAAACTGATATTAAAACACTACTTAAATGAAGGTAGTATCAGATATCTTAATAATGATTAATTTTGTTAAAGACGATTATTAAGTGAATCTGCTTATAATGGCAAGTTTATAACACTTTTTATAAATTGTCATGAAGTCTCTATGGGCCAAATTGCACTCTGAGAGTTAAGCCTGGTAAAAAAACTGGTCCTTGGTCTGGAAGAGGTTGAAAACCCATAACATAAACATTATAGTTATTGTATGAGATTTCTCTAAAAGGTTTCACCACAGAAAATATAGATCCATGGCCTTAATTATAGTTCTTATCCAGGTTTATAAATTTTACAAAGATAATTTTTATGTATATTCAATGAACCATGTTACTATTGTTTATATGTGATGTCAATAATTTGTTTTTGAAGTAAATGAACATTAGGACAATTGGATTATGGAAAATGTAAAAGAAAAAACTTGGAAAATAGATAGACTCCTTTCTGGAGTTACACAAATTTTTTGAATGATGTATCTTTGTTTTTGATTGATAAATATGGTAAAGTTTGATTTGAGCATGAGCTAAAAGTATAGTCCCACATAACTTGTAGTGTTCGCACCCCATATAAAATTTTAATTGAAATGAGCCTCCCCATTATATGTTCATCTCATACACTTTGTGTTGCTCTGAGACAGGGAAGTGCTAATGGCAAAGTCTCACTATGAAGTTGGGATAGAGAAGCTGGATCGTGCAGCGGGTGAAGTCTCATTAATGCAGGAAGAACAGGTGGCACTGCAGCCCAAGTTGGTTGTAGCAGCTGGTGAGGTGCAAGAGCTGGTAGCCCAAGTGGAAAAGGATTCTGCAGATGTGGCAGGGGTGACTTGCAATTTACAAATATTTGAAGTTTTATGAAGTCTTTATGTATATAGAAATTCCTTATGCAAGTTTTTTAAATAAAAATTAGATTGCACTGGTTCAAGATATGGTCCAGTGGTTAGCAGTTGTAATAAAGGTAATGATGTTCTGGGTACCCATTAGAGGTGAGAAATGAATCAAATTTAACATACTTGGAGCTCAGAGATCATTGCAGGGCAAGACACAGACAGTGTCCAGGAACCTAACTTCACAAAAGGCAAAGCCAGACACATGGCAACCTGCCAAGGTTCATGGAGCTTCATGGGAAAGGTAAAGAAAAACCACTTATATGCCAAATAGGGCATGACTTACTAAAACCTAGCTACCTCATAGATTAATTTCTTAAACCTTATTGTTCAGTTTCGCTTCAGTGTTTTGTAGACAAAGACTGCATTTAACAATGCACAGTTTAGAAGATTCAGTGTCTACTCATTGTGTTGGGGAAAATGAACATGGAATTTATGATGCCAGCTGGATAATAATCTCTTACATTGTATTTTCTGATTTTTCCCATGAAAATTATTAATCATAAATGCTTTTTAACTTCTCTCTCCCCAAGCGCCTACATGGTATACAGTCAGACAGCTTGTGGTTTCATGGAAACTACCTTCACTTAATTTTTTGTTATGTTCACATCACATGTTGTCATTTTTATCCTCAGCATGGTTACTGGTGTCTGATTCATTACTTTCATTCTCACACATACAGTTTCACTGTCACTAATAAAACATAAAGAATTAAGCCATTATTAGTAATATGACCTAGTTGTGGAGAAGTCAGTGTCTTAAAGTTTTGTTCCATACTTCTTATCATCAGCCACATCAGAATAATTATCTGTTTACAACTCAGACAAAATACCATCTTCTGTAACTGTACTGTACAAATCCTTGATTGTTACGTATGAAAGTTATAAATGAAACAAAAGAACAAATGTGAATCAGAGGTTGTATTGTTTTGAATATTTATGGTGTGGGGTCTGGAAGGGTTATGTTCATTTTTGGAGACATAAACATCTGCTTGAAACTCCTAATAATTTTGAAGTGATAAGGTAGCCATACACATATGGACATTGAATTACATAATCTGTCAGCAGTGATAGAAATCATGGTTTTTTTATGAATTGATGATAAAGTAATAAAAATAATTTTATTAATGAGTCTAAATGAACTTCTGCGCAATATTTAGAGCCCCTTGTTAGATTATGATGAAACTATCTATAGCACTTATGTGATTACTATACATAAATTTCATTCATATTAATTATTTTTCTTAAAATTCATTTTAATACATATATGAGCCAATTTCACCAAGTATTCACCAGGCAAAAGTGTTTTGCGGAGACATTGTAGGAACACATTCGTAAAACAGACATGTTTGACATGTTACATAAAATATTGTGATGTCGACGCCTGTCATCTGACGACTATTACTGTGGGCACTATGTCAGCCCTGATTTATTGGGAATAAATCAGTTTACAGAGTCTACACATACAGGCAACTCTTCAAATACAGTTTCTCGATCTCTGTCTCTACACTTGACTCAACACACATACTCTTCAGATCACACGCACTGTCCTTTGAGCCAATCCGGTCCCCAAGTTTGGCACTCTTCACACACACAGCCCTCGGACTGTAGCACCCCACTGGACACACGCTGGCTCCTCAGCCACCATGGTCCACAAGCCCAGTCATGGAATATTCCAGATCAAGGATCTAGCAGATTCACTTACTGGAAGGTTCTGGTAAGGAGGGGAATGTACTGTCTGGAACATTCCGCGGCGTCCACACCTACAGTCCACGTCCACTAGCCATGGAGGGGAGTTAGGTTACCCCTCCCCTCCAGTGCAAGCCTTCAGCTCTTACAGTACCATGTCACAATATTTGCATTGAGCTCACTAGTGAAATTTACCATTATAACAACAATACTAATTGTATGCCATTGACAGTGATGTTGAAACTCAGGTGTTATGCATAAATCAACTACATCTTTTCAATGTCACTCTCAAGGGTGCATTGCACATTCTTGTATCTTCATGTTGTAATGCAGGTGGAAGAAGTGGTGATGGCATATGAGGAGGTGGTGAATCAGCAAGCAGCTCATGCTGAAGAAATAATGGATGGGTGTAATGCTGATCTTAATAAGGCAAGGCCAATGCTGAACACAGCTATAGCTGCCCTCAGCACGATCACTCCTAATGATATAAATATTGTTAAAACTATGAAGAGTCCTCCAAAAGGAGTCAAACTGGTCATGGAGGCTGTTTGTATTCTCAAGGTCAGTTAAAAGTGCTTTGCAATATCAATACTGAATATAGCATACCATCATTAGTGATGTTTTTCTGAACTTGATCCATTGTTCAATCACTTTGTTTATGTAGATGGGGCTAATTACAATCACTGGATTCAACAGAATAGGTGTTATGACCTGAAGATAAGAGCTGAGTGGCGTTGTTTTTAGTGTACCAGATGTTGGCTCAAGTATAGAGACATAGCAGTCCTGAAGATTTATAGAGTGTTATGAGATAAACTTCTTCAGTACAGCTCAGAAATAATGAACTTTTTGAGCTATTCAATATAATTAAGAACATCTGTATATCATGCATCTTGGCATTTGATGGGGTCTCTCTGCTTTGTGCATTTAGGATGTGAAACCTGACCGAATCCCAGATCCAAGAGGTTCTGGAAGGATGCTGGAGGATTACTGGGCTTCTTCCAAGCGAATGCTAGGAGATACAAAGTTCCTGGATTCCCTAATTGAATATGACAAAGACAATATCCCACCAGCCATCATGAAGATTTCAGAGCAGATACTTCCTGATGAAAACTTTGATCCTGAGAAAGTTAAATCTGCATCCACAGCTGCTGAAGGTATTTAATTTTATGGGGCCAGTTGCATTCATTATCGTTGTAAGTGAGTGTCTCCAGTTTTGCTATTTTTTCTTTCTTCTGTCTTTTCACAATTTTTTCATCTTGTACCTGTTGTCAAACAGTTTGTGTTTTATCTGTATTCTGTTTTGATTGACCACTTTACTTCATTCTTCATCTTTCAGCAATTTGTATTAACTCTATTTTCATGTTCAAGCTTGCTATTCCATCTTTGTCCATTTTTGCAATATTTATTTTAAAGATCTTATGCCAGACATATCACTTACTGTGTTATCTGTCATTTAGCATCTTCTGATTATTCCAATTATGCATTTGAACAGCCTGAAGTCTGCTAAATTACTATTGGTTCAGGTCCATATTTGTGCCTTCACACAGCATCCGTCTTCAGGCTGTTCCTATTCATTCTATGTATCCCCCTGTACCTGGTTACTCAATCACATTATTTGTCTCATATTTCCATGACAAAAGCTGCCTTTGATATTTTGTCATAGTTACTCTAATTTCAGTTTCTTTAGATTTTCTTCAAAAATTCTGTTTTAGTCCTTCCTCTTGCTGCCTCATTCAATATTCTGTCAAATGTATGAATGAGAAACAACTGAAATAAGTAGGAAGTAAGAGGACTGTATTTAACATCACCAACAATATCTCTTTAATCTTGCATATCCCCACGGAAGTCTATAACGTGAACAAGTTATTTATAAAACAACTTTCTGTTGCTACTATTTACTTAAATTGTGTTACTTTATAGCTATCATTTCATGTCTTCTGTTTGAATTATCTTTACAGTTCTATACAAATCTTCCCAAAGATATCTTCTGCTTTTCTTTACTGGATGTGTATGATCTTGATGGTTATACAGTAAATTTCACCTGTTAATGTCTGAGTAACTATCTTTTGCACTCATGTACATTAGCAAAACAGTAATCATGATTCTAAATGTAAGATTTCATGAACCATGAAGACAAGTAAAAGATAAAGGTAGTTCCATTATAAATCTTGACAAAATAATCACATACCGTAGTCTTTAGTTTATAACAGCATTATGAAGTAATGGAACTAATAGGCAGTTCATCTCAGGTTCTGCAGACAGTGAACCTTAATGATAGTGACAGAATGTTTAATCATTTTAGGTCTTTGCAAGTGGGTGATAGCCTTATCAGAGTATGACAAAGTAGCTAAAATTGTAGAACCCAAGAAACAGGTGCATGCCAAGGTTGAAGCCGATCTTGCAGTTGCTCTGACAGCATTGGAATTGAAGAGAGCCCAGTTACGTGAAATGCAGGATAAACTTTCTCAACTAGAAGTGGTATTGAGCCAAAATAAGCAACGCTATGCCATGCTGCATGTAGAAGTGGAGCTTTGCAACATGAAACTGAAGCGGGCTGAAGATCTGATTGGAGGGCTTGGAGGAGAGAGGACTCGCTGGTCTGCTACAGCAAAGGCACTCGGTAAAAAATACGAAACCCTGACAGGTGAGAAGCCATTGTTGTATCATGAGTGACTAATTGCTACTCCCTGGCAATTATAGACAGAAAGTCTCAACTTAAACTCAGCTAATGTGGCATTCATATGATTTGAACTTATCCTGTCTTCGGCTTATATGACATGCTTCAATCTTGGGAAGTCCATGCTGGTGAGGTTCATCAGCTGTGTATATTCTATTTCTATATTGTACTTACAAAAATGCATATGACTTGATTGTGAGGGATGTATTGTACAGTACTGTAATTGGATATGATATTAACATTGTTAATTAAAACCTGCTTGAATTAAACATAAAGTAAAGTTCATTGATCTAAATATTTTCATAATTACAAATCAAACAAAAAAAGGGAATGCATTATTGCTGTTGTTTTTCACCTTCACCTTAGAATGTGCTGCTAAGATAGCAAAGGAAAATCTAAGGGACAGATAATGAAAAACTTTATCTACTGTTGTTAGCTGATTGTGTTCATTTTTGTTAGACACAAGGCTGAGAATATAGGCTAAATCTCATTAAACAGTGCATCATTAGTATATAGTTTAACAGTATTTAAACAATAATATAATATATGTGTGTAATGTATATAAAATGCCTTTTTTTAACAAGGACACAGGTTGAGTTTTAAATATAAAAATAATTGTTTTATTGTATTGGCTAGGTGATGTGCTGATTGCTTCTGGTGTGGTGGCATACCTAGGAGCCTTCACACTACAGTTCCGTGAGCAGCAGATAGTCTCCTGGGAGAAGCACTTAACTGATCTTCAGATCACATGCTCAAAAGACTTCATGCTGGCTGCAGTATTGGGGGAAGATGTAGAAATTATACAGTGGAACATCTATGGATTACCGAGTGATACGTTTGCAGTGGATAATGGAATCATAATCAAGTATGAGTAATTTTCCTGGGCCCCAAATATTTTTCATTATGATACTATTGGTGATAATCTTTTAACATTTTTGGTCTATATCCACCAGTGAAAGTGAAGGTGAAGAGACTCACCTGTGAGGTGGGAGAAATTGTGGGATAGAGATCTGTCTAATTTTAATGATGATATAGTAATAAAGGTGATAGGTGGAAGAGAGGACTTTTAGCTTATCATGGATTCTGAACTATGGTAGTAGTGTAGTGTTCCTCATATTTCCAAAGTCTTGACTTTGTCAGAGGTGAAAGATGTAAAGGCTTTATCTCAAGCTCATTTCTTTGGCACACTGCCCCTAGACTACCAGGTCCCTTGCTTTTTAGCCTGCTTTCCTTAGTTTATAAAGAAATGTTATATTATGGTATCATGACCTTGTGTGCATGTATCTGTCCTGCATTAATAACTTTTGAAGTAATTCACAGGTTTTAATTAAACTTGGCATCATCACAAATATCATACCACTGGCCTTTCTGCCCTTTTTACTTCTATGTCCTGCACTGAATAACACCAACATGGTGTATTTCAAGCTGAAAGTGGCATTACTACTGCTTAAAGCGGATGTACTATTTAATGTAGATGTACAAACATATTTAAGTTGTAACTTCTGTTATGTTCTTTGTAGGATGTGAAACAACATGGCATTTGCATGAAATCTGTATTTAAGTTCATGTTTGGTGATGGTAATGAATGAACTATTGGAACTAGACATTTGAAATTATTTATGGAGATACATTGTAAACCTATATCCATATTCTGAATTTTATTAAAATAGTCCTTTCTTAATGAAAATTGCACACTAATATTATCACTAATTTGTGAAATTATTATTTTGTTCTCTTGGTAACCTCATCATATATACTGGAGCATGTTAAGAAAAGTAAGCATTATAGGTTCTAACCAGAACTTCATACGGAATATGAAGGTTTATTACCATTTTCACAAAAGGCCATCAAAGGTCAAATAAATTCACTTTATATTGTGACATAGGGACGCACTATATGTCAACCCTGATTTATTTACGATAATAAATCAGTTTACAGAGTCTACACTTGCAGGCAACTCTCTACTACTATAGTTTCTGGGTCTCTCTCTGCATTTGACACACACACACACACACACGCACTTCTCACACACACTGTCTGTCATGCTGATCTGGTCCCCGAGCTTGGCTCTCTTCACACACACACAATGTCAGCCCGTAGCACCCCACTGGACACACACTGGCTCCTCAGCCACCACGGTCCACAAACTCGGTGCTCCTCACATGTATCCGATCCTCACTCCTCGCTCAGCACCACACCAGACTGCTCGATGGCTCCACACTCTCTTCACACAATCTGCACTCTTCCTGTAGAGACCTCACACATGACTCTCGCTACTACTATGCCATCCACTATCGACTATCGTCTCTCAACTCTCTCTTATCAACTCCTCGCACTCAGGCAGGCGACCTATTATATCCACCAGCCCAGTCGCCAAAGGTTCCATACCAGGAAATCTGGAAGATTTGTTTACTCAAAGACTCTAGTAAGTAGGAGAATGTGCCATGTGGAACATTCGGCAGTGGCCACACCTACAGTCCGCATCCACTAGCTAGGGAGGGGATTAGGCAGCTCTCCCCTCCAGTGCGAGCCTTCGGCTCTTGCAGCACCACATCACAATATTTTCACACCCTATTTCCCTAATATCCATTCTAATTCAATTAAATCTTTTCAGTCAATCAGCTGTATAAGTATAGAGTTACAATCCAATGTTTCATAGACTGTCTCTATCAGCTGATTACCCAGGAATAGTTCAGTTCAAGTTCAAATTCTTATCCATTTTTAAATTACACAGTTACTTAAGACTAGTTCTCCAAAGCTGTGACTTTCATTTTGGTTATGTGATTAAAATGTTGTATGCATGTGTCATCTCTGTCATATATACTATGTGGCCTGCCCATTTCATCCTTCTAATAATATTTGGTGAAAAGCAGAATTTGTGAAGCTCCACATTTCACAGTTTTCTCCAGCCTCTCACTTCTTCCTGTCTGTTAGGTCCAAACATTCTCCTCAGCAATCTCATCTCAAACACATTTAATCAGTGTATATTCTTCTCTTAGGTGAGAAACTCATACAAATCAATAGGCAGGATTAAAGTTTTGTACACTTTAATCTTTAAATTTCAGGTAAGAGGTTGGAAGATAAAATATTCTGAACTGAATTGTGTCAAGTGTTCTCTGAATGTAATTATCTCTTAATTTCTTCATGAATGTAATTTTAATTTGTTACTGTCAGTCCCAAATTGTGCATTGTACTGCTGGCAGATGTGTAGCATCCAAGCACATTTTAATGATATTGACATTATACAGTGAGACTTTAGGTGATGTCTATCCATTACTTTGTCTTCTGCACAGGGATACCTATTCACTCCATTATTGTGTGAATATTTTACCAGATAGTGACACCTTTGGATTTTATTCATCCTGAGGGTGTGTTTTGAGTGTCATGCTGATTGTTTCAAAGCCTGTGATTGTGACATCTATTCACAAACTGTTCCAGAAATTCTCATCGATATCCACTGATGATTGATCCTCAAGGTCAAGCTAACAAGTGGGTGAAGAACATGGAGAAGTCCAACAATCTGAGTGTTATCCGCCTTACTAGCCCTGACTATGCCCGTGTGCTGGAGAATGGAGTGCAATTTGGAATGCCTGTATGCCTAAAATAAGTCACATTTTTATGATTCTGTTTGAAATGTAACTGGCACTTATGTTATTCACATGGAGGTAATCATATGTGCTTTTGCAGATAATTGACTAACTAAAACCATCACTCACTCACAGTCTGATAATATAATCTGAAGGTTAAACATTGTGAATATGGAAGCTCATCATTTGACATAATTTTGATGAGCCAGTTCAGTTCACATAACTTTGTGAGTAGCATAATATCAACTGTAGGGACTTTAGCTGATTAGGAAGCTTTAATTAACCACACCTACCATTAAGAGTGTTGGTAAGTGAGTATGTACTGAACAGGGAAAAAGGAATATGCATTAATATAAACCCATAGTCTTGGAAATGTACAGAAATATTGTACGTGTATCATTTAAATGCAAATTAAGGAAACATGTATATTTCATCTTTCATTACTATCATCATCATCATCACCACATTATTTCACCACGTTTCATTATTTTCTTTTTCTTGTTATTAGTTTCTTATTTACATCTTTTTTCTCTTTGTGGCGCTACAGTTTAATTTGAGCCTTACACTTCTCAACCACATCTATACACATCGTTTCTGCTTCCAGTTACTAACACCTAGTTCTCTGAATATTTTCCACTTGCCTTTGGTCACTTTTCTGTCATTTATATACTTGCAAAATTTACGAGGGGCAGTCAAAAAGTTCCCGGAATTGTGGTATAGCACTGTAATGGTAGGACATATGGCAATGCTTACCTAATCACCTTCAAAGTAGGTCCCTTGCACACACACACACACACTTGCTCCATCGATCCTGCCATTGTTGGAAGCACCGGCGGAGGGCTTCGTTTGGAATCTTCCGGAGTTTGGCCGTCACATTCTATTTGATGTCCTCCATGATTATGAAACACGTCTCCTTGAAGCCCATTTTCAGAGTAGGGAAGAGCCAGAAGTCACTCGGAGCGAGATCCTGAGAGTATGGTGGTTGGGTGATGACGGGAATGCTTTTCTCGGCGAGGAATTGCTGCACAACTAGCGATGTGTCGAATGCGACAGCCAAACTCCTGAAGATTCCAAATGAAGCCTTCCGCCGGTGCTTCCAACAATGGCAGGATTGATGGAGCAAGTGTGTGTGTGCGCAAGGGTCCTACTTTGAAGGTGATTAGGTAAGCGTTGCCATATGTCCTACCATTACAGTGCTATACCACAATTCTGGGAACTTTTTGACCTGCTGAAGTGTTGCCAAAGATAAACAGAACTTCTGTTAAGGAACATACTGCAACGTTATAATTTTCATTTGTTATACTGGGAAATATAACTTGAAAAAGGTGAAGTACTGTTGTAAGATTTGAGGTTTTCACAGCGGTGAGTATGGAGATTTCTGTCTTCTGGATTGTTGCGCTGTGTTGTCTGGTCGATATTAACCAACGTTGGTTAATATTGACCAGACTACACAGCGCAACAACCCAGAAGACAGAAATCTCTTGAAGTACTGTTACTTAAATTATGGAAAGTCTTACTTATACTTTGTTTCAAAATTAATAATTGAGGATGTTACGTTGGTACATCTGCCCAATTTACATTGTATTTAATTGAAAGGTGAATGAAACACTGCTACAGTAAAGAATAGTTCATCAAGTTTTCTGCATTGTTATTTCATTATTTGTTCTATCAATATTGCAAATTTTAACATTTCCAAATAACCCTGGAATTTTATGCAATATTATTAAACTTTTATGGTGAGACATTTAATCACCAGGCTATAACATGATGCAGGAGCAATATTTAAGGGTATTTAAATTTTACTCAAGCAAGGGTAAAATTTACATGCATTTTTAATTTAAATAACTACCATGCTTTTTTCAGTTGAAACAAAATTTGGACATTACCACAGAAACATTTCTCTGTGTGTTAAGCCTAGAAACACTCATCCATATACAGAAAACATAGCAGTTCTGACAACACTATACATTATTCTTTTTCTCATTGTGCTTGCTGCAGACATCACACCATCTTGAGTATTATATGATTTTATAAACCTCACAAAACCTGGAGAATTGTAAGAATTATCCATTCATTATGGCTTTTATAAGACAGTGGATCAGAGAACTTCAGAACTACTGCTATTGTTTTAGGCATGTGTTCTGAAATGAGGGTGATTCCAAAAGAGTCTTGTTTCCAGTACACTATGAAAATCCACAGCTAGCAAGAACTTGACTTACAGATTTTGAATGCATTTATTCCAAACTGTGGTGATTTTAGAGGTATTTGACATCTGAAGTTTTCATGGTCTTCGCGGTTTTGGTGTCATGTTGACTGGTTGGTAGATACAAACTTTTGGAGAAATTTGCTGTCTGTATCTTCAGGGCTGAAGTAATGATGCTGGGAAGTGCAGGGATTATACAGGATGGCAGGAAAGGAATACTAAGGAATAGGCCAATCAGGACTCCCTCTCATTACCAGCGTCACTTCAGCTCTGAAGATGGAGAGAGTATGTTTCTCTGAAATGTTGGCATCTATCAATTCAAAGGTATTATTTCAAAGATAGGTGGCTCTTCAACAAGGTCAATTGATATGTCTTGTTGGGGGTCTGGAAATTTGAATGTGTGTGATTGACAATGAAATTTTTTTAATCTGTTCAAGTAAATAACAGAACCAAAAATGGCTACCAACTCATCATGTGAGAAATACATGCTTAATTTAAGCAAAAATCGTGCATTGTTCACAAGGGCCAAACACAACTTTTCTAAATTACATTTACTAAAGAAGTCATGTAAAACTATGTAAAATAAATCAGTTTTTATATCCAGTGACAGCCATTGATCTCTGTATTAACTAACTAACTAGATGGCTTACCGAACCCGAAGGTTCATCACCCAATTAACCAAAGCCCTCCACTGGACCCTGTCCTGGGCCAACAAAATCCAGTCTCCTTCAACTCCTATCTCCCATAGATCTCGCCTGACATTATCCTCCCATCTACGTCTAGATCTCCCCAGCAGCCTCTTCCCCTCAGGTTTCCCAACCAGTACCCGGTGCACACCTCTTGTCCCTTCCATGCGCGCTACATGCCCTGCCCAGATCTCTGTATTATCTGTATGAAATGAAATCATTTACCCTAATGGATAACAGTACTTTGGCTTGCCGTCTGGAGTGCATCTGTTTGGGATTTATGAATACTATTGTGACAGCAGATGCTGTCTAGTACATAACATTGATAAAGGACAAGGTTTGTTATATACTCATTGAAAGAAAAAGGAGGAAAAATTACTATTTTATATCTGAAACTCATGTTAATAAATAATGATCATAACACTGCATGATGTGAGTATGCCCACATTCTGTGGCATGTGATGTAAAGTTAGCAAACATATGTGATGCTCCACACATAAGGATTAACAAGAGTGTCTTCTAACTAGGTTCTACTAGAAAACATTGGAGAGGAATTGGATGTCATGTTGGAGCCACTGTTGCAAAAGCAGACATTCAAACAAGGTGGATCCTTGTGTATCAAGCTGGGGGACTCCACTGTAGAGTACAACTTGAACTTCAGGTGTGTGAAAGAGCAATTTAAAATATGTCACTGTTTCATAAACCATTATCTCTATATACTTTACAGGAAACACATATCAGATATTCAGCATCTGCTCTAAAGGTTATCTGTAAGCTCTGCCTAAGAAGTAAAAACTAAAAAGAAAACTTTTTTGCCTTGTTATGTCACCAGACCTTATGAATACTGTGTAGACATGGTTGAATTTTAGATGGAATAGCCTGTATAACTTAATCCTTTGTAATTTTGCAATAAGATGAACAAAAACAAAGAAATAAGCAAACTTGTACCATCTCTGCAAGCTTTACAACAGCCCACATCTATTGAGGCACTGACCAGGGAGCCTAAAAGACCCAGGTCTAAGGCCAGTACTCTAGTTGAAAAGGTCAGCCCTCCCCAAAGACCCAGGGACTCTGAAACCTGGGACATGCAAAGTGGCCTTATTAAGGCCACCAGTAAAAAGTAATTTAACACAGTGCTTCCATTGAGATCCTGTTACTTAGGATACTGTACTTCATGGATGTATGGGCTGATAGTGTATGAAGTAAATGGAGATACACAAAAGTTCAAGAATGGTCACAGTGCAGGGGTTGGCACCCACCCCATTTATGATAATAAAAATTGACAGTGGAACCATGGTTCTGGAGAATCTTGACATAAATACGTCTTTGAATTTAAATTATATTTAGGCAATAAATACAATGAAAGGAAGTTTAAATATTAGCTTTATTCTAAATATTCCCTTTATACATGCTTTACAATTGAGTAAATAGTTTGATTAAGACATTGCTTATTTAATGTAAATTAGTTATGCTTAAGATGGGTTTGTGGTAGCTGAAATATGATATAAAATTTGTACACTTTAGAGTATCAACATATCGTGCAAACACCATATCTATACAAGATTTTGATCTAGTAGCACTACATTGAGGATTTGACATCAACATTAAGCCAAACGTTTCTTCCATAAATGTGACAAAGCTTTGATTTTCCTTCTTCTTTAAATCAATGTTAAAATCTCCTGCCAATATTATGGGCATTGTATAACGACCTTCTGTGGTCATAATTGAAAACCTCTGTAAATTTGGGAGGAAACGTTCCCAAATGACCCAAAACAATTCTCTTGCAATCATCAATAGGTGTGTTGTTAGAAATATACAGAGTAACAATTACAACTTTTTCACCATTGACCATACACTGTGCCGCACAAATATCACCTCTCTTTTCAGCTGCAGCTATTCTGTAATCTGCTCCAACCTCCTCAGGTAACTTCATCAACAGATGTGGGGTAGCCATGGTAGTTGCTCCATGTTTCTCGTACATAGCCACTCCGCCTGCTCTTTTCGTCACGCATAAATTGTGTGATGCATTTATAACCTTCCAAATTTACAGTTTCATTGTTGTGCATCCACATTTCAGTGAGCGCCAGGATATCGGTATCAGTTATCACTGCATCCATTGCTATGTCGGGAGGCGGGCGCTTAACGCGCCAGATGCATTGAAAATTGTACACATTGGTTCATTAAAATTACAATAAATGTCTACTCTTACCATTCCTGAGGAATGAACGTTTAAAGGTGACTCGGCGCTGGATCTTACACATCTTCGTAACTAACGCTGTTTTTCCTGAATGACCCTTCCGTATAGACGTATTTACGTCAAAAGAAGACAAGCCTAATTCTCTTACACGAGTTCACGAATGCAGATGAAAACATTAAATGTGATGAACAATAATAATAAATAGGAATCCCTTACTCAAACTTTGTTCAATTGTAAGAGACCATGATGTCCACTGGCAGTGATCAATTTAATCAAAACAAAAATGGAGAGAGTGGAGGGCAGTATCACAGATTTCTTAATTATTCTTATATAAGATAAGTACTTGTGATATTCTAAAACATTTTTAATAGCACAATATTATCTACTTTACGACACACTTCTTTTACAAGCGATTCACAGCAAAGCTCTTTCCGCAATAACGAAAACGGTAATGAAACACAACAATGCCGAATAAACAGATGACATAACAATTTACAGATTGTTGGTATGGATCTTAAACATCTTCCTAACGCTTTTTTGCCGAATGACCCTTCCATATAGACGTATTTACGTCAAAAAATTAAGCTGTACAGAAAATAGTAATGAAGGGAATATAATCACCATAGACAACTTATACTGGAAGGAGAAAAGGATTTCTGTAATGGACTTCAGTTATGTAAGGTGTATTCTAGCTGTTATATTTCAAACAGTAAAATAATTGGGTGTCCAGTGTTCATTCCCAGTTAACTGAAAACTTTTTTTTTCCCCCCACTCTACCCAGAACGTCCCTTGACCTCCCAGCCTTCCATATAATACATAAAGGAGCTCCTTTTTGTGGGCATAAAGATGATGAATCATGAAGCTAAATTTTATCAAAATTATCTACATGTTTTCATGTCATGGAACAACTTTAAGTCTGATTTTGTTATTTTTTAATTTATATATATAAATTTTAAACTGGCCTTTTCCTTGGTACCATAATGTTCATTTAAAGAATTGAATTCTAAATTAAAGTTTTGATATTTTTAATTCAAGGATGTACATCACAACAAAGTTACACAATCCACACTATCAACCTGAGGTATTAGTGAAAGTAACCCTGTTGAACTTCATGGTAACACCTGTTGGGTTGGAGGACCAGCTGCTGGGCATTACTGTTGCTAAGGAGCAATCTGACCTGGAGGCAGAGAAGAACCAGCTTATTATACAGAGAGCTAAGAATAAGAGGTAGGCTGGCAGGATAGCTATCTAAATTATTACAGCTACAAGCAATGCAGTGATAAGAATATGGAACCAACATCTTGGATATCTTCAAATGGTATGACCAGACAAAATGTGGAAGTGGATACCAACAGAGTGACAAAAACATGGCATATTAATTTGTTGTTGATAGAGATAATCAGTGGCGAAGGTATTGTACAGCATAGATGGATATTATTTTTTATAATTAAGTAAATATGCACCATATTGAATTATACTATTATATTTCAAATAAAAGTTATAGATGGTAGTTGAGGTTCTCACAGCTATTAAGTTGGCCATCTTCTGGGTTATAGTGTCATGTAGAAATCTACCAACATTTTAGAGGTCCTTGCTGCCTTTATCATCAGGGTAATGAGTAAGTCACACGCATGCCAGACTACATGGCGCTACAACCCTGAAGTTATAGATCTCAATAATACTAATATTTTATGTTATGTACAGATCTTTTGTCTGATAAGCTGTTTTAGAGAAAACATTGGTTTCAATAAAGTAAATGTGAGTCAAAGTGAATTTGGTATAGACTGCTAGTATCAGATTTATTGATAACCTTTAAGTGGTTTGGCAAACTGATAAAATAATGCCATGTTCTACTTATTATTCCATTATACAGAAATTGTATAACACATACTAGTGTTTTATCCATGGATTGATTGTCATAGTTACTCAATTTTCTTAACAGTTGTTTTCATTTTGGGATTTATTTTAGAATGCTGAAGGAGATAGAAGACAAGATACTAGAAGTTTTGTCTGCATCAGAGGGCAACATCTTGGAGGATGAGACAGCTGTTAATGTGCTCAGTTCCTCAAAGTCACTGGCCAATGAAATCCAGGACAAACAGTCTGTGGCTGAGGAGACTGAGAAATCTGTCGACAAGGCTCGGCTTGTGTACAGACCCATTGCCAATTACTCTTCTGTCCTCTACTATACCATTGGTATGTTTCGATGTGGTGTTTATAGACAGGTAGTACGTAACATGAGTTTCAAAAGTATTCCACTGGAAAAATAAACAAGAACTACCAGAATGTTAGACAAGACATACAAGTAAAAACACTACAAGAAGATATGGTCAAATTAAGGAGGCTGAGATTATTATCATAACCCTGTACATTGGAAATTTAAATAATTTAATTGTTCAAACATTTGTCCAATGCCTGCACCTTCTGTTGTATGTCATGCCTTGTCTATTTGCTGCAGCTGACCTGGCCAACATCAACCCTATGTACCAGTATTCTCTGATATGGTTTGTGAGCCTCTTCAAGGCTGCAATTGACAACACAGAGAAGGTGGAAGATGTTGAACAACACATCACAGTCCTCACTAAATGCTTCACATACTCATTATACGTTAATGTCTGCAGGGGCTTGTTTGAGAAGGTAAGTCCATAGTCACTCAGTATGAACATTTGCATATCACATACATTCTGTCTTTATCTATAATAACTTATTGAAGGTTCATAATGTGAACAGTAGCCCAAAACCTTGTCAGTCTGTACAGTAAGTTTCACAATATATGATTTACATTTTCACCTATTTTCCAGATTTTCAGAATATGGTTGAACTTATAATAATGGCATTTAGAGATATATCACTCAGTTGTAGCACCTTATTTAAGTTATGTTGCTGTTAGAATTGTTACAAAATGACGGACAGATAGACATACAAAGAAATTAATTTAATTTGTTATGTTTACCCGATCAAAATCCAAAACGAATCTGTCAAGAAGGCAAGAAAATGTGCTCTTTTCTGGCTTCAAACAATACTTTCTCTTACTGCTACATGATCTATAAACAAAAAAATATAACCTACAGTACCAACCTAATGTGAAAACTAGCCCTTACTGAGCTCCTGTACATGTGGCGACAATAAAAGACCATGTGGCCTGTCACAAGAGTGCTGGGTGTACATATGGTCTGCTTATTCATTCTGTGTATGTTCTACACATCTCCTTTCTATTTACAATGGTCATGCATTATTTTGTCCAGATGATATTCTGTTTCTACATGTCATGTTATTTTGACATCATGTATTTTTTCTAGTTTTTACAGAGTGCCAGTGAAAGTAATACAGAGATAAATTTTGAAAATGTAACAAGCCATATGGTGTCTTGCACAGAATGTTCTTTTAGTGATATATAAAATGTAATTATTTGATATTGTTATTATAAAAAGTAATGTTGCCTCTGTTCTTAAGCATTCTAACATAAAGTATTATAGCTTCTTAATCTCAGTAATAGATGGAGGTGAGTGGTTCACTTCATGCTGCAGTCACTTCACCACTGTACTTCCAGTACATTTTGGGTAAGAGGCTGGGAAGGCTTCAGAGCTGGTCTGGGCACAAAAATGAAGAGAAAAGTCCTTCATGTAACCAGAAAATTTCATGGAACACAGTCCTTCATGAGAAACTGATAGTCACACAGTTAATCAAAAACTTAATCTTTTATGAAGCCTGAAGGTTTTCTACTGTTTCCATGTTGTAATTATTATTATTATTATTATGATCAATTGTTTAATTGGTCCACAAGCAGCCAAAAACTTCAGGCGTGTTGCCGTCATAACTCGGATGCTTGCAGCCCAGGTGAAACTGTAGCCACAGCTTGAACCACGAGATGGGCGGCTACAGTGAGTTGGGCTCGTGTGCACGTAGTAGTCGGAGCGACCCAAGAAGCACAGCCTTTTGCATCCAGCTGAGTAATGTTTCAGCATTACGCTGGCATGCCGGAATAAGCTTAATGTTGGCCAGCAGTGACGACTTGACTCCTCCAAGAACAGCTTGAACCACGAGATGGGCGGCTACAGTGAGTTGGGCTCGTGTGCACGTAGTAGTCGGAGCGACCCAAGAAGCACAGCCTTTTGCATCCAGCTGAGTAATGTTTCAGCATTACGCTGGCATGCCGGAATAAGCTTAATGTTGGCCAGCAGTGACGACTTGACTCCTCCAAGAACTCTGATTATAAGGACGATTAGTCTGACAGTGAATCCTGGGTACAGCTGTCTTAGCTCAAACACAAGGTCTTGATACTTGGTCCGTTTTTCAGCCTCCTTCACAATTATTATTATTATTATTATTATTGTTGTTGTTGTTGTTGTTGTTGCTCTGTCAGGACAAGCTGTTCTTCTCCTTTATACTGACTGTGAACCTCTTGAGGAACAAGAATCAGTTGGACGTTCGAGAATGGATGTTCCTCTTGACAGGGGGGATTGGTTTGGGCAATCCATATGCAAAACCTGTTGCCTGGTTGCCACAGAAGAACTGGGATGGTTGGTGCCAGCTTGATGATCTGAATAATTTCAAGGTGTGTTCTGACATTGATAACAGCTGGTTTCAGTCCCCAGCTGGGCTTATGGGATAGTTCCCTCTCCTGCTTGCTTTTCAGAAAGTTTAAAATAATCCAGGTAGCATGCTATGCTCTCTGTAAGAAATACTCTACTATTCACTGGTGACTGGTAAAATGTTTCATATATTTTTATAGCAAAAGATGGCAGAGTATATGCAGTTTGTCACTGGTAATATAGATGGGTTAGGAAAAAAAAGTTTTTCATTACCTACAGACCATAAAGTCCCATTTATTTCCAGGGTATTCGTGTTCACATGGAGAAGAATCAAGACAAATGGAAGGCAGTGTTTGATGATGCAGAACCCCAAAATGCCAAGTTTCCTGCTCCTTGGCCTGAGAAACTATCGGAGTTTGAAAACATGCTTGTTCTCCGATGTATACGACCTGACAAACTTGTTACAGCTGTTCAGAACTTTGTGCAACGTATGAACACTTTACTTTCTGAGTTATCACTATTGAATGGATTAATAATGATTGAGTGAGGGTCAAACAGGGTTACAGCTGCTTTGTTGAAGTTGTATTTTTAATTTAATGCATTCTTATATTTAGTGAACTGTGACTATTTCCTTTTTGAATATCCCACTAAAATAATATAAATACTAATTGACTGATTTTTGTGAAGCTCAGCACAAACAACATGCCATTTGAGACATCTTATTGATACTTTTAAATCTCAACATTAACAGCATCAACATTATGGCTCTGTGAACTGCTCAGGTGGGATTAATACTAGTGCCATTGAGTGTGGAGTCATAAAATTTTGTATGACTTTAGATCTTTGGGAAGAATGCGTCTCAGCATAGTAGATAATACTACAGTGACTGCATTAAATATTTTTGTTTGTTGAATCAATAGAACTTGAAATATAAAGATTGACATGCTTTAAGCACATCTACAAATGTTGTATGAAACATTTGTATCTTGTTTCTGCTATACTTTGATTATTCTGAAATTATAAATCCAGGAGAAGTTCATAATAGAACACAAAGTTTCAGATTGAAAATGTTAGTTCTGTGGAATAAATAATGAGAAATTGAAACTTCTCTGAATCCGTAGATTTTAAACATTTGGAACTATGAAATGCACCATGTTAATTGTTAGTGTTTTTAATATAGTTCTTTTCAGTTAAATAGAACCAGTGTTTTCTGTTAAATTTCCATTTTTTTGTGCTCTAATCACTCTTCTTCTTTTTTAAATGAAGAAAAATATTATTTCTTAATCCTTATTAAATTTTCATCACAATAATCATTATTATCACTGTCTTTATCATCATCCTTCCTAGTTTAGACCTGTTTGGCCTGTTATGGTTGTTACATCACATTGTTGGTACACAGAGCCTGTTCAGAGGTTTGTAGGCATCAAGCCTACTATTGGACTTGTTTCTTGTTGGCTGGCAGCCATCTGGTTAGGATTTATTATTGCGTTCAAGGTATGTTTTCTTATTGGAAACAAGTCTAAAAGACCAAGCCACATTTATAGGTTGGAAATGTGGGCCACACTTTAAAATGAGAAATAAAAATTTTACACGTGTAAATATAACTTTCCTTCACTTCTTTATCACAGAACAAGAATAAAAAAATCTATTTTAATTGAGGGCTGCAAAAAGAATTCAGAAGTTTGTATGTGGCCCTTAACATGCTTATTGGTGAAAGTAGATAAAAATGCTCAGAGATAGAATGGTCTGTGTTCGATTTCCAAACATAATTATAAAATATCAGTCCAGAGGTAAAAGATGTCTACAGAAGACAGCTAAAAGGAAGGGATAATTATGTTTTATTATGCATGTTACATGCAAACTGAGTAGAGTACTGGGAAGGAGATAGTGTTAATTGTTTCTGATGATGATAGATTGTATTCTCTGTGCTATCAACTGTAGACAACTTGGGGAAGGAATATGTGGAGCCACCTACATTTGACCTGACTTCATCCTTCAGTGACTCAAATTGTTGTGTGCCACTCATCTTCTTCTTGACCCCCGGAGCTGATCCCACAGCTATACTCCTCAAGTTTGCAGATGATCAGGTGTGTTTGTGAACAAACTTAATAATTATTCATAAAAGAAGACATGTCCCTTAGCTTTGCTGCTTCTTTTAAAATAACTGATAGAACTTTGTAAGCCTTATTGTAATCTGAGCTTCATCATATCACCTGATGAAATCTTCAGTTTTGTTGCCTAAATTTAAATATAAATTCTATTAATGAAAAAGCTTTGTTTGTCTTTAATTTGTGTGCTTTGTTATTTCTAGGGCTTTGGAGCAAATCGTTTATATATTCTTTGCTTGGGTCAAGGGCAGGGCCCCATTGCCATAAAATTGGTAGAGGAAGGCATCCATAATGGGACATGGGTCATACTTCAAAACTGTCATTTGGCAGAGAGCTTCATGCCAACCCTTGAAAAGGTGAGGTCACACCTCCAGTTGGAGGGACATCAAAAGGCAGATAAAATTATGCCTACAGAAATTAATATTTCAAGCTCATTAGAACTACCAAGTTTCCTGATTTTTCTGGGCATATTCTGCGTTTCTTCCTGGGCTCAGAAAAACGTTATGCAGATATACAAACAGACATTATCGTGTTACATTTTGAATGCAGAGTTTACAGTTAAACCCTCATTCTACTCTTAAAAATGCTAAAGGTAATTATGTTACATTTCTGACAGATTGTAGTCTGAAAAAGATAATTTGTTGCAGTAGGAACCTTAAGTTATGTATTAAGAATTTGTGTCGTTCTTGCAGTGTTTTCATGCTGTAAGCTTTCTTTTATTCATCTTACACATGCTGTATTATCACTCTGATGACAATAAATACAGTGAAATATGTCTTCCTCAACCTTCCTCTTGAAATCAGTCACAAAACTGCATCCTTGCATGCATAGTAATTATCTAAATGGTATATAAGACCATAAATAGTGAAATGAAATTTAGAGTATGCAATGAGGTTAGTAATACTGGTGTTGAATTAAATGAGGGACTACTTGCAGATGGTGATGCCAGTCTGGATGAAAATAACTGTAGTGGTTGTGGTAGTAGTAGTAGTTATTAGTGGTAATAGCATTGAAGAGAATGTTTTAATTACTAACAGAAGACAATCAATTTATAAACAATGTGCTTGAAGAAGAATTAGATTTTAGTAATAATTATAACAAGCTGGTGATATAATTAAACACTGCTGAATGATTCCTTAAAATTCCTCTATAGTGCAGTCTCTAAATTGTTCAGGTATGTAGATTACTTAAGGAGTTTTGATTTACTGTGAAAAGTTGTTCTTAAGAAGTTTCTGGGAGATACAGGTAGAATGCTAACTAAGTTTTCAGTCATCAAAGTAATTAATTCTGTGCAGATTTGTGAGAGCTTCACACCTGAGACAACACATCCTGACTTCCGCTTGTGGCTCACATCATACCCAGTTGCACATTTCCCTGTGCAGGTGCTGCAGAATGGGATCAAGATGACTAATGAACCCCCAAAGGGACTTAGGGCCAACATCATCAGGTAACATTAGGACAAGTCTTCCTCCCATGAACTATTTAAAGTAACCTTTCTGTATGCATAATGATAGTAGATGAATTTTATTAATGCTGCTCAGAAGGGGAAGTTAATAAAAATATAAACAAAATTTTGGTGAGGAAACCTTTTGCTAAGTGGCTGCTTGTGAGACCAACAAATGTCTAGCTCCAGTGGTTTATTAGTTGTCGACATCAGAACAAATGCTAATATAGATTTTATACATTCATCATTTTGTTCTCTTACATTCTACAATAAGTTACCTTAACAAAAGTTGTATATTCTTCAAATGTCAGTTACCATACATCATTTCAGGACTCTGTTTTAAGTGGCACAAGTGTTGCTCTCATCTCATAAGTTAATGCATCCACTATGTTGGTTTAGCTGATTATGGGAAATTAGAAGTTTAATTTTGGGTTAGCTTTTAGTGGCATAACTTTTATAACAAATTTAATAAAAACCATCCAGCAATTCTTGAGTTGAAACATGCAGAGAGACAGACAGACACAGTCAGCCCTATATGCATTCATTTTGTAAAAATCATGCAGTGAACTTAAAATAATTAAGGAATATAGTAAATAGAAAGCAAATCAGGAGTTTATACTTTAAAATTATATGGCGCAAGTAAAACATAAGTATAAATATAAATGTTAAAACAGAATGAGAAATTCAATTGTTATTAATATTTTCCTTGGTTACACAGGTCATATCTCTGTGACCCAATCAATGATTCTGAGTTCATTGAGAGTTGTAAGCAGTTGGATAACTTTAAGAGGCTGCTGTATGGACTATGCTTCTTCCATGCACTGGTTCAGGAACGACGCACATTTGGGCCTCTGGGTTGGAACATTCCATACGAGTTCAATGAGATAGATTTATGCATCAGTGTTACACAGTTACGAATGTTTCTTGATGAATATGAGGTATGGACCAAGTGACTTAATTTCCAACATAATTGAATCTGGATATACACCTGTGCTCTTTTTGTGATGTGGCACACACACACACACACACACACACACTCTCTCTCTCTGTCTCTCTCTCTCCCCCCTCCCCCTCTCCCCCTCACTCTTTATTACATTCCATGGATCCATAAGACAGTCAGATGACAATAGGATGTGGGAAAAGTCATAATAATAATAATACAATACATATTATAAAGTACAATTCATACTATTATATAAATTTCACATAATACAATCAAAGGATTCTATATAAATTTAAGGATAAATCTTATTATTCCATTTAAATTCTTTGAATCCTGATGCTATCAGACCAGTTAATTTAACAATATATCTTACTCTGTGTTATGATATATGTAGTGTAATTTGCTTTGCAATAATAAATTTGTATCCTCAGTAAATTAACATCAAAGCCAAAAACTGCAAATAAACATTTGGAAGATACTTGTAGTTCACTTGAGCTGCATTCTTTTACTGCCAATTTTTATGTATCCTGAAATGCAGGATATTCAATATGAAGCACTGAAATATCTCACTGGGGAATGTAACTATGGTGGACGAGTGACCGATGAATGGGACCGCCGCACACTAAACACTATCCTGGCAAAGTTCTACTGTCCTGATCTTGTGGAAGAAGACACTTACTACTTTTCTCCATTTGGTATGTTTAAGGCATTCAAATTAGGTTTGTAAACAAGGGCTGTTTCAGTTTGATATAAGCTTGAGGTGAGAATTAGGAAACATTCTGGGTATCAAGACAAGAGAGAGAATTTTCTCTCTTAGACCAATTTTTTCACTGTAATCACAGTTTATAACACTAACTACTTCTTTTTACATTGCACTGAAGTGTACTACATATCAATATCAGATCCTTTCAAGAGAAAAATTTCCATAATTAGTTGTATCTAGGGCTTGTGAATATGAAAATCTTAGACACCAGTGTCAAGCCCTTTCTCACATCTCACTGCATTTAAATATTTGCCACAGAAGCTGGTTAACAACATGTATTTTTATTGTGCTATGTAATAACATATACCAGTTTTGTGATAGTTGACTATTTTCTTATGAATTTATTTATGGCAGAAAAAAAATTTTAACCACAGGTAGCCCTCAATTTGCGCCGATTCAGAATAACGCTGATTTTGAAACCAGCAAGTCAAAAAGTGAAAAAAAAATATTTCACTATTATTTATGACGTTTTACAATGAATCTCATACTGATTTTATACTAAATCGTAATTCTTACATAGCTGATTTTGAATAAAAATTATAAATACAGTCATCTATGCAATTACGTGTTTCGTTAACTCGAATTTGCTCCAATGAGATTGATAAACCAGTAAAAGCTGTTTGTGAAATGCAAACTTTTGCATATGCGAGTTTGTTCTCATGCAGTTTCATTCCTGGCGCTTTAAACTTTCAAAGGACTAATTTAATCCCAGCGGAGGGACCGGGGTAATTTCTACTACGCGATTTTCTATAGGTCGGCGTCTTACATGAATGCAACTATTGCATAACAGCAGGGATGACTGTACACTTCAATCACATATAAGAATCGCAGTCAATTGCGGGAACCAACAATTTGCCGATTGTATGTGTATAAAATATATTTTTTAAATTCCCTTTATTTTATTTACGTTATTTCAGAGCTTTAAATGTAATGTCATTATATTACTCATCAATGTTTGTGTGCTGGGAACGCATGTCATTGACTTCCTATTGATTTACATTATAAAAGAGTTTCAATTTATGCTGGTGCGTCCAGGAACGCATCCTCGTCGTAAATCAAGGGCTACCTGTATAGGGTTAAATATGTTGTAAAAATGTATATATTCAATCTTTTACACTTATGTGTACCAGAATTTCAAGACAGTGGAACCCTGTACTTGCATTGCTTTGGGATTGATGAAAATGGTGATGGACTGGGAAAAATGTTGTACTATCTGAGCATGTGTCTTATGGGACTAAGGAGAAAAATAAAAATTTCATAGGATAGCCAGTCTCTGAAAATAGATGCAAAGTTGGGTTTTCCTAATACAAAACAAAAGTACTAACCACTGGTGGATTGTTTAATTTGCATATCAATTTTTAGTGTAAGTTAATTACATCAAATTTAATTTGCATTAAGCTATTAATTTAGCAGCTGAAGGGTGACAACGGAATTTGGACTTGGTGTTTTCTGTTCATTGGGTTCTGAAGTTTCTTTCTCCAGAGGTAGAGTGGCTGGAATGTGAAAATTCTTCACCTCCATCTGGTATCTAAGTCATGAATGTTTGGAGTGTTACTTTCACCCTCCATGCACCTTCTTGGTGTGATAGTTATTCACAAGGAAACTTTATTGTTTTACTTTTGTTGGCAGCACTGATGGGCCAATATAAATTAAAGTTTGATATGCTAGACAGTGTTTAGTGTAGGTTAACTATGCAAAATTTCATCAGAATCAGGCAAATAGTTTAAAAACTGAAAAGTGTGGCAGCAGTTCTGTTCTTCATCTGCTGGAAACATCAATAAATTACTGTTTCCTGGGATATTGTACCATGTAGTCTGGCAAACTTTAGCTGGAATATAGAGTAAATCATTGCAGAAGACTTAATACTTACTCCTGTGAGAATCTGAAATCGCACCATTAGTAGATCATTTTGGTTCAAGATCAAATTTGTTTTTCAAGTTAATATACATCTTCTTTACCAGATGTTATAACAATTCCTACAGTAAGATATGAGTTATTTCAATGAAACAGATAGACGGATATTCCAAGGATCAAGGAATTATTAGGGTGTGATTTGTTTGATGTAGATATCTACTATGCTCCAAAGGGAAAAGAGAATGATCTGTTTGTGAATTACACGAGCCAACTGCCCCTCATCACTCACCCTGAGGTATTTGGCCTGCACGAGAATGCTGATATTAAGAAGAACCAGCAAGAGACTGAGCAGCTACTGAACAACATACTGCTGACACAGGTAGCTGTGATAATCTCTTATTTAAAATGAACACACACACACACAGTGATTCTTTACATGTTTTGACAGTAGTTGACTCATTACATTACATTTGTATTCTATATTTCCTATTGTCTGAGGTACATATAATGCAAATGAAGATGACTGTTTCTTGGTATGTTGAAGTAGAAGTTCACTAATGTTTCAGAAGTACTGGTTGTCTACATTATCAACACCCTGAAATATCAATAAACATTTACCAGACTACATGGTTAAATGTCCCAGTAAATAGTCATCTTCATACAAACTGCTGTGAGAACCTGAAATCTCATAGAATGAGTTGATTCTACTCTGTGTCATCCACATAGTTGATGTGTTAGGTTAATGCATTCTTCATTTGTTTTCATTGCTGCTCAGGATAGAACTGTAAGTACATGTGGCAGATGTCTTTTGCTTCTCAATGGATAATTTGCAACTTTGAGGTACATAATCCTAGTATTGACAGACACCCCTTAGACAATTTTGCCTATACCTTGTTCTTTTGCTTCTCCTACTACCCCTCTTTATAGATTTTTTTTTCAGGTTTATGTGTTCACCAGTTTGAATTCCCAGCAAGTATCCATTACAAACATTTTCTTTCCACCACTGTATGAACTACTCGTATTCCATTTGGTGTCCATACATTAAATATCTTGATCACTCATTTTTTTTACATGTCCATGCCACCAAAATATCTGCTTTTCTGGCTTCTTGCACAATGTGTTATATTTTTTCTATTCTTTTTCTATTTCTATTCACATGTGTTTTTATCTGTTCCAAAGTTTCATTTCTGCAGACTTATCTGAGCATATGCCATATAAATTAGGATAACTTAAGATACTTTGGCTTTTGTTTATTTAATTACAGTATATTATGTCAACTACAGTTGTTATGTATTGTCCAGAACTGTAGTGTATTTAATAACAGTGACTTGGCAAGGCAGTGGGTGCAGATGTCACGGCCTGGTATACTAGGGGAACTGGGGGAAATTACAGCATATAAGTAATGTGAACTTTGAACTGGAGAGCTCCTAATAATAAAGAATGGCAATTATTCCATTGTGGCATTCAGCTGCATGCAAATCATTTACATTATGGGAAAACTCTTTCAAGTAGACAGATCCAATTGATTGGCAATCCATTGGCTGAAGTCACATGACATTTCATTTCTACAGTAGAATGAAGTCCATTGGTCACAATGGCTAGTATCTAGGATAAATACGTGAGGTGCTATTGTATTGGTCAATGTAGTGACTGAATTTCTTAAACCTGTCTTGAGTCTGCTCTGAAAAATTGAATGCTTCTCAAAAACTTTATCCATTCCACACTGAATGCTTCCCATTCTGATATTTATTTAAAGACTTTTTTCTGTTCATGTATTTCCATGACTATGTATAGTTTATATTATCAAAAAAGTTTGGAAATGTACACAAAACATAACAATACTGGCAAATCCAGAATTTGGCTTTTTGACATTTGTGAATGGCACCACTGATGTCATATTGTCTGAGATCAATGACCAGTACATGAGCAGGGTGTGTGATACCTATCTGATTAGGTGACACATCATGACAGAGGATCCCTTCATGATCATACAACAGGCTAAGAGCTCCCCATGTGGGGGATTCACTGCCCAGAAGCTCATACAAAGTCTTCATGTAATGTGCCTGTTGTTTTGTTTGATTTCAACAGAACTTTGAATGTGTTGACATTTTAGTAAAACTTCCCAAGTGCCAAATTTCATAAGAACCTATTTAGCTGTTTTTGTTATTATACATGGACAGTCATACAGAGATCCTGAAGCTAATAGATACATATTTGCAGCTGTTAGTTATGAATGGGCTTAAATTTCATGAATAGTTGGTTACAGTTGATGAGATATGGTAGGACATATTTCTTTCATGGACCTTCTCAATCATCAAATAAATCCAGGTATGAAGGGTCAGTACTTTAAGTATGCTGTCTCTTGTGCAGTATTACAAATGTTTGAGTGCAAATAATCAGGAATAACTCTGTGACAGGCAACAGTTTTCATTTCATCCATATGGGACTCAAGTATTATCTTCACTACAGTCAAAATTTGTGGTAAAGAACTTTACTGTAATGCACACATCTTCATATTGGTTAACAGTTCTTTAATATCTGTTTTTATGTCATTATAGTGTCTGTTTTTGATTGTAGGCATTTAATGATGTACCTTATTGATCTATAATGCTGCATCCTTAGGATATAGTGTTACAGGTAAGCAAGAATTGTTTTAGCATTTTATATTTTTGTGGATGTCCTTACTTCCTCGTGAGACTAGTATTCATCTTTATCATCTGCATTGCAGCTTGTGCACAATCCACTTGATTATGCATCACACAGGCATACCATTAAACAATTAAACCAGGAGTTAAATTTTGGCTGGCAGCCTCATAGTGTGGGGTTTTAAATCCACTGTTCCCTTATAATGAAGGTTGATTTAAAAGTACTTTTAACCATCCATCTTTTATTAAACAATTTTGATCATGCTTGGTAAATAATTTTGTGCTGCCTCCTTAGGTCTTTCCTGTAGTGGACTATCTCATGACTTTCACATTCTTGAACTTTTAGCTCGTATTTAAACTATAACTGTATTTTTATACTCTAATTTTAAAAATTAGCAGCATGAATGTTGGAATTAACTTGAAATTAAACACATTATTGCAGTGAACTATTCTTGACACCCTAATCTTTAAGCACCCTACATATATTTTAATGAAATCCTAATGCAAAACTTGTCATAGCAGCACTATATGCAGAATCTAATATTTATAGATTATCACTGTTGACTTGTCACCCTCGGTGGTCTAGTGGTAGCATAGCATGCTTGTCACTGGACCCAAGGTTTGTGGGTTCAAACCCGGCCAAGGTCAATAATAGTCCATAGCATGACTTCCTTCAGAGGGGAAGTAAAGCTTGCAGTCCCATGTCATAGCTTTACGGCAGGTAAAATAACCTTACAAGCATGAATGATATGTATCATAAGCAAGATTCAGCGGCCATTTCTCTCTCACCCATGTCTTTGGTAGAGAAGTCCCTACCAAATGTCTAAAAAAAATATAGATGATAAACCTCTGAAAGGAGGCCCCTATGCTCTATGAAGAAGATAAAAGGGTATAAGAAAACTATTTGACTTAATGGTACTTACAGCATACACTGTAAATGTTATGTTCACTGAACCCAATTTCTGGCATATTACATAAAACAACATAATTATACTGATATCTTGGTCTGAGCTTTGAAGGTATGTATCACCTTGATGCAGTATTAACTTCATACTTTATTTTCCTAGTGAATGTAAATGACTTGTTGCGTGAGTTGTCTATGTGTACAATTTTGAACTACATATAGAAGTATGTTTCCATTAATTATATGAGGGACTATATAGTTAACATCAGTATTGGTGCAATGTTTTAAATCAAAATATCTGTGAAGACCTGAACAATGTCTTATTTTCTACAGTGCATGGAAGTGTTGTTGGATCTGTTGTGTTATTCATGAATCCTTGGCATTACAATGACTAAATTTACTACAGAGGTATCATTATTTCATACTAAAGTTGAGAGTAGGAAGCATTAAAAATTACAGGTTTTAAATGTTAGTAAAATGTAGGGTTTTGTTTGTTTTACAGATGTTCTTTAACCTGTAATATACAACATTTATGCTTTCTTCCTCACAGAAATGAAAATATGATTTAACAAAATACAGAATGACTCATGGGATAGTCATGTCTGTGGCCTGCTATCAACAGAGCCCTTCATACATGAATTTTGAGTGCTTTTTTCATACTCTGTTTAAAATGATACTTTCAGACCATTTCATCCAGTCATTTACTTGAAAGCCTAAATCCATTTTTATATTTATTTTGTTATATATTGATCTCATTATTTGCAACAAACCAGAAGTTTAATTTGTGTACCATATAGGGCTTACATATCAAAACTTTGTGAAAACAGAAAATATTTACCTGGGAAATGTTATCTCTCTCATAATCTGAGAGATTTTTCTATGTTCAGTTTTAGCCCTTCAATTAAATACAGTTCTTCTGCTATATGCACATCAGCTGCTAATGTTGTATGCAGGGACTTGAACATATTCAAAACAAAAATTGTTACACTTCATCACATTCTATAATAGTCTAATTTACTTAATTTATTTAAATTATTATTACAAATATACTTATGTATTTAGTAGCAATTTTCTTTGTGTATTTGCATCCTCTGCACTAGTGTATTTTTATATTCTGTTTGTTATTACCTTTCTGTATTTATTATTGTTTCCTGTGATCATCTCTTGTGCTGTAACTGTAATTGGCCTTCTGGATGTTGATACAGCACACTAATAATAAATAATTGACTTGAAGGTCATCTAGCATGCACTCAGATTTTGTCTGTGAAGGTCAGAATGTAGAGGTCTTGTAATGCTTATATCTTAATTGCATCCTGCTTGTGTTCCTCAATTTTTACAATACTTTTATTTTCCGTCGTTTCACAAGCTTATTGTTAAAATCACATAAAATTTCACATAAAATTGTTACATTTTTAAAATTGACGACATGTTTCGATATACAATTCTATCATCGTCAGGTCTATCAAAATTAAAATTAAAATCTGGTGTATCTGTTGCTCTGCTTATATTGATTTTGTTTTTACCCGTTTTTGACGGAAAATAAAATAAAACTATTGTATTGAGGAACACAAGCAGGATGCAATTAAGATATAAGCTGTACAATTGTCAAATAAATTGCATATATCAATTGTTAAATTTAAAACGTAAGGTATTGAAGTGCAATGCTAATATTAGGTTTAACAAATTATGTTTAAAGGAGAGAATAACACCGAAATATGTAAAAATAAAAATACAAGGAAATAATCCTAATATACAAA